ACTAGACCGCTTTCTTACACCATTCACAAAAATAAACTCAAAATGGATGAAGGACCTGGATGTGAGACAGGAAACCATCAAAACCCTAGAGGAGAAGCAGGAAAAAACCTCGCTGACCTCAGCCGCAGCAATTTCTTACTTGACACATCTCTGAAGGCAAGGAAATTAAAAGCAAAAATGAACTATTGGGACATCATCAAGATAAAAAGCTTCTGCACTGCAAAGGCAACCGATGGAATGGGAAAAGATATTTGCAAATGACATATCGGACAAAGGGCTAGTATCCAAAATCTACAAAGAACTCACCAAACTCCACACCTGAAAAACAAATAATTCAGTGAAGAAATAGGCAGAAGACATGAATAGCCAGTTTTCTAAAGAAGACATCCAGATGGCCAACGGGCACACGAAAAGATGCTCAACGTCACTCCTCATCAGGGAAATACAAATCAAAACCACACTCAGATACCACCTCACGCCAGTCAGAGTGGCTAAAATGAACAAATCAGGAGACTATAGATGCTGGAGGAGGTGGAGAAACGGGAACCTTCTTGCACTGTTCGTGGGAATGCAAACTGGTGCAGCCGCTCTGGAGAACAGTGTGGAGGTTCCTGAAAAAATTAAAAATAGATCTACCCTATGACCCAGCAATAGCACTGCTAGGAATTTACCTGAGGGATACAGGAGTGCTGATGCAGAGGGGCACTTGTACCCCAATGTTTATAGCAGCACTTTCAACAATAGCCAAATTACGGAGAAAGCCTAAATGTCCATCAACTGATGAATGGATAAAGAAATTGTGGTTTATATGTACAATGTAATACTATTTGGCAATGAGAAAGAATCAAATCTGGCCACTTGTAGCAACATGGATGGAACTGGAGAGTGTTATGCTACATGAAATAAGTCAGGCAGAGAAAGACAGATACGATATGTTTTCACTCATATATGGATCCTGAGAAACTCAACAGAAGACCAGGGGGGAGTGGAAGGGGGGAAAAAAAAGTTACAGTGAGGGAAGGAGACAAACCATAAGAGACTCTTAAATACTAAGAACAAACTGAGGGTTGATGGGGGTTGGGGGGGGAGGGGAAAGTGGGTGACGGGCACTGAGGAGGCCACCTGTTGGGATGAGCACTGGGTGTTGTATGGAAACCAATTTGACAATAAATTTCATATAAAAAAATAAATAATTAAAAATTAAAAAAGGAAAAAAAAAAGAAATCATCCATCTGAGGCTTCTTCCCTCTGATTGAAAACAGAAAATGGGGGCGCCTGGGTGGCGCAGTCGGTTAAGCGTCCGACTTCAGCCAGGTCACGATGTCGCGGTCCGTGAGTTCGAGCCCCGCGTTGGGCTCTGGGCTGATGGCTCAGAGCCTGGAGCCTGTTTCCGATTCTGTGTCTCCCTCACTCTCCGCCCCTCCCCCGTTCATACTCTGTCTCTCTCTGTCCCAAAAATAAATAAATGTTGAAAAAAAAAATTAAGAAAAAAAAAAAGAAAACAGAAAATGACTACATTCCCAATAAGTTTAATAACAGAAGATGCTTTTGCAGAACTCCATCAGAATGATGGGCTATCTCATGGTGATCTGAAACCAACAGAAGAAATACCTTTTCTATTCCGGTTTCCATTAGCTGACTTGTTATCCTATGCTTTGCACATCGTCATCCTTAACTTGTTGGTGGGCTCTCAGGGAATGCCTACTGACTGTGTTGTCATTTCAGAGCTGCTGCTGAACATATTCTGTATTGCTCAATGAGCTCCCTTCACTACGACCTTCTGAGTTATTAATACACTTGTTAAAAGCTGCTAGAAGCCCAGATTATTGTTCTTTTATACTTCTAATTTTCTTTCTATCAGTACCCTTTCTTGATGTCAGGATCCATTATTTTTAAGAAATATACCATACTTAGTCTCTATTACCATTCCTCTTTCCAAAATTACCAGTGAGATAAAATGAGAACCATTCCATGGAAATGGTAATATTTAACAAGTATACGTTTCCAGTGTATATTCAAAAAAGTCATTCGAGAATGCTCCTTTTGGTAACCACACATTTCGTGACTATCTAAAACCCTTAATTACTCTCTGAAGTGTGTTCTAGAACTGGATTAAAATACATATCACAGACTTTTTTTAAAAAGCACTTTGTATGTGTGTGATAATTATTTGTATATCTTTGTAACATTCTATAAAACTTAGAAAGGCAATCATTTAACCCGCCCCTGAAGAGTGAGCTGTGATGCGGGAATAGGGTCAGTGCTGTTGTATGCCTAGCGCCCGCTCCGGTGCCTGGCACACACAAGGCATTCAATAAGCATTTGTTGACCTATACACTTTAATCAACACATTAAATAAAGTGATTTCAGAGTGCCTGGTGGAGCATGCGACTCTGGATCTCTAAGCCCCACGTTGGGCATCAAGCTTACTTAAAAATAAAATTAAAACAAATTAAGTGATTTCAAACTCGAGAGCCAGCTCTCCAAATTTCAGCTTTGACCCTGCCATCAGATACGCCCGCCAGAAAGCAAGGAGCCATCCAGAGGCCAGGGTTTACACTTGGCCACAATCCAAGGATCCACATGAATGATGGGAGATTACAAAACCAAAGACAACTCTAAAATGAATACACGAGCGAGCCATGAAGGGAGTGAAGCTCACAGAAGTGCATCTGGAGACACTTCCAATTTAGAAGACTAAGTGAGGTTGAGGCCTACGGCTTGGGGCTAAAGATTATAGACCTGACAGATGTCAGCCAAAAGAGAACTTCAATTTTGCTTCTACTTCTCTGGTGAGGATGTCCTTTGGGAAGAAGGGAACATTTACAGGGCAGCTAAAAAGCAGTAGGGGCTAGGCTAGATATTTCATATTGGTTATCACATATAATCGTCACATGTGATACACCTTCATTTTTTGTTTTCTAGTGTGTTGATATTTGCTTTTCTAAAACTGAGCGTATTTCAGACGGCACTCGACCTTTTCCTTCCTAGTCTGTATGAGTTCCAGGGTGATGTGTAGCCTTCTCCCCCAAAGACACAACCCCAGGAATCTTGGTCTTCCTTTTAGTTTCAGAATCCCAGTTTACTCAATCACTTTGCTCTTCTTTTGAGAATATTTCCATTAATCTTACATAAAATTCTTTCTACAAAGTAAGACTAAAGTATATCAGTATACCAGAAATCCCCAGCCCTATTTTAGAAATGGCAAAACTAAATTAAGGCTCAGGGCAGTTAAGAACTTGCCTAAATTTACACCATCTGATTTCTAAGCAGAACCAGGATCCAATTCAAGTTTGCTTCCACAAGTCTTTCCACTAAACCACATTTCCTTATCAGGATGAAAAAATTTGCATGAATATTGCTAATTTTCATGACCTCTCTTGAAGAGATCATGAACATACACAACTGCTGAAAACTGTCATAACCCAGATAAGTTACATCTAGAAGCCCTGACATAAAATTAGCGTGGCAACCTTTAAGGAATCATGGATAATAGGTGATGGTCAATGGCATCTTCATTTTTTAAAAAAGAACACTTAAGACTGAGAAAGGAAGCACAGTCTGCTAGGCAGGAGCCACATTTCTTCGGCCTTTGTATCTCCAGGGTCTAGCCCAGGGCCTCATACACGATGCTCAACAGATGTTCAATGAATGATACACTACCTTACACATCTCGGGTCATCAAAGAGATGAAGAATTAAACTTAGTGTGTATAGCTTCAAGAGGCAGAAATTCCCAGTCACAAGGGCGTATGCTACAATGAAGACAAAATTCAAGAAAACAATGAGCAGTTAGGGCTGTCTCAAAATGGCAGTGTATCATGAGGGGGGAGGGGAGCTGCCAATCACTAAAGTGCTCATTAAGTATGAGAATGACGCAGAATGACCTAAGGCCCTCACCTCCGCGATGGTGGTCAGTGGTCACCTTGCCTCCAGCCTGCCGTCTTGTCTCCCATTCATGGCGGTGGGGAGGGGGTTGGAGGTTTGGGCGTCGGAGAAAAGGGAGGTAGAGGTTCAAGGTAAATGACAGGAAAGCGAGAGTTCTCCATTATTCACTTCCCTGGAAGCCTCAACTCCTTACATTATACCAGTCCTATAACACACTTACAGGGAAGGCTTTCATGGCTGCTCCAGGAACTGGTCACCACTAACAGCATCACTCAGGAAAATGAATTCCAGGTTCCCAGTGACTCGGCTATCCTTGTACAACATAATCCATTGAACTGGAGACTGCATAAATGTGCACCTCGATTTTTTCTTCAACAAAATAGTAGGAATTTGTTAGCATCTGGCTCACTTGATGGTAACTTCTGTGATTTCTAACAATCCCAAATTCATGAAGTTAATCAACAGGCAATTACCTAAAATTCAGATTTCCTAAAATTCTCTGTCACTGCCAATATACTGCACCTTGGCATAAAAGTTAAAATCAAGCCTACAGACATTTTCTTTGTACAAAAGGAAAAAAGTAGCTGACTTTCGGATAATGCGAAGGTAGTAACATTAACATTTAGAATCTCCTTTCCTCTCACATCGCAGATTCAGGGTCAGCATATTTCAGAATTAACGCCCTGTGATTGGAGGTCTAACATGAAGGCTTCACCATCCAGGGGACCACTCAAGTTAGCTGGGTGGGAGAGGCAGTCTGAAAGACCAGAGAACAGGAAAGGTTCCACGTCATGACTTTGCTGCCACCAAAAAACAAAGGGAACATGCATGCTAGCACACATACAGACCCCGTAACCGGTGTTAGCCACGGTAAACCACAAATTCATTTCTCATGCAAAAGTGGACAGATGATAGGTATGTGCATAATACAAATCAAGTGCTGAAAATTAAGCTCTTTTGGGGTACCACCGAGACTCTGGTTTCACTGAGGATCAACACCACGTGTTTAACTTGCCACTCTGTGTAAAACCATGATGAAGATAGCATAGAACATGTGCTTCGGCAGAAAGCTGGATGTGTGAAACGTTGCTATGAAAAAAATGAAAACAGGAATAACAGAAGTATATTTTCTTTTATATACAAAAATGAAGCCCCCAAAAATGGTTTGTTGTAGTAGCTATCGACAAGACGTTAAATTATTTTTCCTCTGCTTTGGTTAAAACAGCCAAGGAGCGCCAATCAGTTCCCCTTCCACTAACAGCATATAAACACAGTGACAAGACTACTTTTAGGACAGAATAAACGACTTTTAAGAAAGAAGATTAAATTAATTTTAAACTAAACATTTTACCAATAAATAACTTTCTTTAAAAGGTAGCATCTCCATCCTATGATCTTGGGCACAACATATACATCAAGTTAAAAAATAAAATTTCTCCTGTAACAGCAATTACAGGTGTTAATGCAACAAGTATGAAATGAAATTACTTTAATGTATCTTGAGGAGAAAAGTTCTAGGAATCAAAAATAAATTTTGAAAAATGACATTTTCCTAAAATTGTACATTCTAAAATAATTGACTAATACTTTATTACAGAACATAATTCAAACTATTTTGGCATTTCAATATATTCCTAAAGAAATGGTTAAAAAAAAAAGTTTGCATACACCAAAACTGGAACAGTGTTTATAATTCTGTTTATGACTATGAAATGGCAACCAAATTCTACTTAAAACTATAACCACCAATGATGAAATATACTTCAAAAAAATAAAAATTTGGTCTGATAGTCTTTAATATTGGTTAAAAAAGAGACTGATGTTTGCTGCTTATGAAAGTTATTTTAATCCAATGTGCAAAAAAAAAAAAGTGCAGCTGTCTACTTTTACTTGAAATACATAAGACCAACACTTCTACACTATTTACACACTTAAAAGATTTTCAATTTATTAATTTAAGTAACGATATTACATCTCCTATAAATCACGTGCTGCAGAGAGCCCAAACGCTTGATGACATTCTCTTAAGTGACACACATGTATCCGAAGAAGCATACCTGTTCTTGTCCTAATTTGATCCTAAGTAAAAATCCAAGTTCAAAAATCAATTGAGAATTATTTTGATCTAGAAAATCTTGGAATTGTTGCAAACATGAAAACCTTGTCCCTGAGAGCAGGTTCCTATTCCCCCTTTGCTATCCCTCTAATAACTGGTCTACCCCACAAACCGCATCTGCCGCCGAGTGACAATGCCCCAAAAGAGAGGAACAAAAAGAACTCAGCCCCCAGACTACCATCATCCCTGTGGGTTTGCTCAGCCTTGTGTTTGGGACTTGTGACTACATCTTTTGGGGGAAGTGCGGGCAATCAAAATGAAGAAACATTTTAGCAAAGCAACCATCATTTGTCCACAAAAATAGTGAAAACCAGTGATATAAAATTAACAAACCGAATACAAATCTAATGCCATTCTGCACTTCTGGAACTTGTGTTCGTATCCACGCGGTGTTCTTGGTCAACCACCCACCAGTATTTTCTGCATCTACATGAAGTACTCTTATTAAGTTATTAAAAAGGCTGTTTTGACTGTGAAGTCACAAATAAGCGTGATGATCAGGAAATCAATTTACTTAATTATCACTCTGTGCAATACACTCACCAGCGCAGCAAGTGTCGAGAGGAATTAAAAATGGAACAGAAGTCTCCTACTTCTGAACTGGACACAGGAGTTCTCAAATTAAAATCGTAAAAAAGAGGGAGGGGGACTTACTGGCGACATTACCACCAGACACCAGACAGGACAGTGACACTGTTTGGTCGGAACCAAGGAACCTTACTTCCTTGCAAAGTTTTAAAACCACCTAACCAAGCACTGCCTTAAGTCCAGCGAGTACAATGCTCTGTAAGTTTCCACAAAAATACAGCGACTGGCGTTCATGTATGACGAACAATGCGGTCTCAGTCTCCAGGGCTCAGGCGAAGCGGGGTCCTGTCCCATCACCTCTAGCTACAGGCTATCGTTTCCAACTGCTGCTCGGCTTCAGCGGCCATCGCTGCTGCCTGCAACTGTTCTGTCTCACTCTGGATGGCACTGGGGGTCACCTGCTTCCTTTCACTGTGCATATTGTTCTCGTGCCTTTTCAGATCAGACGCCTTGGCAAATGCCTTGGTGCAAGAGCCACATACAAAGGGCTTCTCCCCTCTGTGTCTTCGTTCGTGGTCTTTGAGGTGGGACTTGTGTTTGAAGGCTTTGTCACACATGTGGCACGCAAAAGGTCTCTCGTTACTGTGAACTCTCTCGTGCTTCTTTAAGTCTGGGGCGCGGATGAATGATTTTCCACACACCTCGCAACTGTAGGGTTTGTACCCTGTGTGGATTTTTAGGTGTTCTTTCAGGTGGGCCTGTGTGGTAAAACCTTTTGTGCACATTTCACAGACAAATGGCCTGTCTGCCGTGTGGAGTTTCTCATGCTTCCTCAACCTGCCTTCGTCGGAGAATGTCTTACCGCACGCCTGGCAGGCTATCTGCTCCCGATGGTGGCCATAGAGTAAGTACTCGAACTTCATGTCACTGGCGGCTGTCGTCCAGCCTGGCGTCTGTTCATCCTTCACTTCACTCATTCCGTCGTTAAATGTTAAGGCTTGAGGGGTCTGGGACCCCAAATCTTTCGATTCCGGGGTCTCCATGGATTCTACCTCCTGCCCGTAGCAATTTACCTTCCGGACTTCCTCACTCCCCAGCTCTTTTAAGATTGCTTCCTGAACCCTGAGCGTTGTCGTCGGCGACTTGCCGTCCTCCTGACTCGGGGGGGGTGCCTTCTACCGTGTCATCGGAAGGACTGTCATCCTGGTCTCCAATTTCTTCCACGTCATCATCCTGAGTGTCAGCAGCATCTCCAATGGGGCGATTTATTTTGAGGCAATACTTACTCTTTGACTGGCCGTTGTTTTCATCGGGACTGGAGACATCACGCTTCTGAGTACAGAGTTTATCCAAAAACCGGATACCAAGAATCTGACCCGATGACATCATTAGGTTGACATCTTCTTTTTTCACAGAAATCTTTGCTGTGTACATGTAGTTCAGGACCTCTTCGAATATATCAGAACGAAGAAAATCTATTTCTATTACCGAAGAGCTATCAACCTCAAGCTTCTTGAAAAGCTTTTTAAAGTAGGTGCTGCAGGCGGCAAGAACACACCTGTGTGCTCGGAATTTCACATCTTCGACCACAATGGCGATATCACAGAATTCTCCTTCCAGGCGTTGTTCGTTTAGTGTTTTCAGAAACAGAGTTTTATGATCGTCGTCATTATATTTAATGGTTTCAGACATACTGATGAAAAACTCCTGCAAAAGAATTGTTAAAAACAGAGTTTCAGATTTATGACTGATACTTTTTCCACATACAAAACACAGGTGGGCTTTCATTTCCTTATGAATTTTCAGTAGCTAGCAATTTCACAAAGTCAATGTTAGGAGTGGTTCAAGAACAGGAGTACGAAAGACTGGGATATCCATCCCAGCTTGGGGATGGCCATGTTGTCACTTCTATTCATCTTCAGTTTAAAAAGTATTTGTTTAGTAATAATAACAGCCACTTTGAGTGGGCACGTAATACATGCCAGACCTTGTTCTGTGTGCTTTGCGTGCCTTCACAAAGGTACTGATTAAATAACCTTAGGACACAGGCATTCCTACCCGCCGCCCCCCCCCCCCCCCTTATACATGACTTTAGGAACCTGCTCAATACTCTAGTTATTTAGCTGGGACTCCAATCCAGGCAACCTACCCCAAAACTTGTGCTTCTGACAACGAGAGGTAATGACAACAAATAACCTCAAGGTTTAAGAAAGAGGTGCGAGGCCAAGAGCCTCTACTCCGGTCGTGTCTACTCTAATTCCGTGTACAGAAGAGATTCCGTGAAACAACTAACAGCGCTCAGTGTTCTACTTCCCGGACAGAAGAGACGCATCACTCCCGTAGAGCTAGAAAGAGATATCATTGCCAAAACATCCCACTTAGTGTTGTCTTCTGGGGTTTTTTTCCTCACCGGCCTTGGGCTACTTCTGAATGAGGGTTATGGTTTAATATGACCCTCAGACAATCAGATGGCATTTGGGAGGACAGTGATAAGTGTCTTCAGTCCACCTGGATGCTAATCTATCCGCCATCCGGACGAAAGCGTCATCAGGACTGGATGTGCTTGGCAAGTGCCGTATTTTATAAGCTAAAAAACTTCTGAACTGGCATGAGACATCTGGTGCAAAAGACCGTCCTAAAGAATTATCTTTTTAAAAGAATGTGTTCTGTATGATTTCTTTTTTTTTTTTTTTTTAATTTTTTTTTTCAACGTTTATTTATTTTTGGGACAGAGAGAGACAGAGCATGAACGGGGGAGGGGCAGAGAGAGAGGGAGACACAGAATCGGAAACAGGCTCCAGGCTCTGAGCCATCAGCCCAGAGCCTGACGCGGGGCTCGAACTCCCGGACCGCGAGATCGTGACCTGGCTGAAGTCGGACGCTTAACCAACTGCGCCACCCAGGCGCCCCCTGTATGATTTCTTTTTGAAACATTGTTTTCCTTTTATTTAACAAAGCATTCTCCCCAAAGAATCAAGTTCTAATGCATAACCGATACGTGTATATATCATACTGGGCACATACGTTATATGTTGTATACGTTATACACACTGTGTTTTTTAAAGCAAACACCAAACCAGATTTTCAAGATTTAATATCCAGAGTTATAGTTACCATGAACAACTCAGGCTATTATCTTAATGCTTCAAACACCAAATTCTTCAGATCAGAATAACTCTGATCAGGGATGCGCCAGTCCTACAAGAGAAAAGGACAAACAAGAATAAGGTAGGACCTTTCTCCATCCCAAATTCTAAACAAGAATATTTTCAAGAATTGATTTTAAAAAATAAACTTTCCTTTCTCGTCCTGCCACTTGCACATGTACCCATTTTCAGGTTGGGAACAGAGAGGAGGGTGACTGGCGGCATCAGGTCCAGCTCTGAACAGATATGAATGAGAACAGATAAAGGCTGTGGCACTTGGGGCGTGCAGGGGCGGTACACTGGGATTAGAGGAATGGGTTGGAGAACCACTAAGGAAGTCCTAACAAAGCCCATGCCCAGAATTGCACAGAGGTTCATAGTTACACAGATACAGAAAAAGCCAGTAAGTATCCCCTACCCCCACTATTTCCTGCTTGGGCATGTAGCCCTCCACCTTTATTTCTAGGCTCATAGAAGCATATAGTGTGTACGTTTTAAAAATCAATATAAAGTCATAGACGTGTCCATACCCCACAATTAACCCTGGAGGAGAGAGAACAGTAGCTGCTTTCTTCTTTCCATGCTTCTATGTGATGTGCACCTATCACTTAAACTACACTGCTCTTTATTGTTGTAATTGAGAAATCCTAGTGTTTTCACCTCTATCCCTACTGGGAGACTGAAAAAATTCTAGCTTTTAGGGGGTTTTAACTCTTACCATAGGGACTCCATCCTGCAGACGAATATTCTGAAAAACATCTTTCCTCGACTGAACAGTGAGCACGCAAACTTCGGTGTGGCAGAACCAAGGACTGAGCTGCAATATTCTTCCACAAAAATTGTGGTGCAAGAACCGAACTTAAGAGACCAACATTATGAAAACCCTCCAAAGTTCCCTCTCCAGAAAAACAAACACACCCCTAAGCTGCCTAAAGTAGCAGGGGGGTTCTCATCTGCACACGTGAGAGCTGGGCAACATTACTAATAGAGTTGCTGTGGACCCCGCCAGTCCCTTCGATGTACCTCGGCCTGCAGTCATCTCCAAGGGAAGGCAGCCACGCAAAACCTTCCTACCTAGTCGCTTCCCACTGTTGTAACTCTCCCTAAGGCTTGTGGGATAAAAGTGCATGGGACTAGGGAGAGGAGTGGCCCTGCAGTACCCATGGCGACACACCACGGTGCTGAATTTGGTGGGATGGAGGGTGCAGTGTGATATTTGGTCCCCACTCTCTCGCAAGATCGCCGAGGTCCATTACTTTCTGCTGAGACGTTCCAGTTGCTAAGTTCAGGTGAGTTAAACTGGAAGACGGCCGTTGCCAGTATTTGTGTAGGTGCAGGGAAAGATGTAGCCCCAACTACACCTCCAAACAAAGCTGCCCCTTTATTGTGGTTCTCCAAACCGCTGGCGCGCTGGGCCGCCGTTAGAGAGCAGGGAGCGGGGGCTCCAGCAAAGTCAAACTTACATAAGCAGCGGCAGCCGCCTCCCCTACCCCGGAGCAGCCGCGACAATGGCGGCGGCGCGACTTCCCGGTTGAAAGCTCGCAACTTCGGGATGGGGAGGAAGCAGGGAACGAAGCGCAAGACCCAAGAGGACTTCGGAGCCTCTCAGGCCTCGCTCTCGTTCCTTTCGGCCCGGGAGGTGGGGGGTCGGATAAGGCCCTTTGCATCCCTTCCCAAACAAAAGCTCCCCGCTTCGCAGCCGGGAGGTGAAAGAGCCACTTTCCCTTTCAAAATCGCAGTCCAGAGCAGGCTGGGGGCCGCGGCTCCGCGCCCAAGAGGGAGGGCCGGCGGCGGCGAGCGGGAGCGGGAGCGGGCATGCAGCCCGGCTCCGCAGCCCCGCGCCGCGCCCCGC